GGGCTTTCCTTCTCAGAAACAATAGGGGAAAGGGGCAGGTTTTACTATGGAAACATGAAAGGCTTCAGAAATAGTACAGGGAAAAGGAGAGAAATCATTATTTGTAAAATTAATAATGCTAAAGAAAAGGGTGGGAGAAAATATTTGCCAGAGGCCCTAGCAGGAAAAGCGACTTTCTACAGTATGTATAAAACCAACAAGCCCGGCCGGCGTGGCTCAGTGGTTGAACGTCAACCTATGAGCCAGGAGGTCACGGTTTGATTCCTGGTGGGGGCACATGCCCAGGGTGCAGGCTCGATCCCCAGTGTGTGGTTTGCAGGAGGCAGCCGATCAATGATTCTCTCATTGATACTTCTATCTCTCTCTCTCCTTCTTCCTTCCTCTCTAAATTCAATTAAAAAAATTTTTTTAAAAAGAAAGGAAACCAACGAGTCACTAAGGAGGAGACGAATGACCTGCTAGGAAGGCGGCGGCACGCATTGCCCACAGTGGCTGTCACCCGCTGTGCAGCCGGAGGGAGGCTCTGGGTCCCACTGGCCACAGGTCAGCCTGGCTTTGCTCAGCCCCAAGTCCCTCAGCACCCCCACCCCTAAGCACCCAGCCTTCGTTCCCACCCCACCGTGCCTCTGAATGGGCGCTTCCTTGTCCAACTTCCCTGACAGCGGCAGCCTGAGAAAGGGGGCCCAGCCCACCTGGCCCAGCCCTGGGTGCTCAGGGCCTGTGGCTGCCTCAGCACCTTGATCCTAATCTGACTCTCCACGGGACTGGCCCCCCCAGAAGCACTGGGTGGCAAGGGTTCGGTTACCCCGCGTCCTTCCTCTGGGTTGGTGGAGGCCAGCTTCTGGGCCTCTATGTCTGGGAACTTCTTCAGCTGTTCTGTGGAGGGCAGTCCATATTCCGTCTGTGTCTTGATGACCACCTGTGCGAAGAGATGACCCAGGAGGACCCTGAGCTGGGAGGGCTGGGAAGGGATGGGGCAGGGGCTCAGCGGCCCAGCAGTGGTGTGGGTCCTGATCGTCTGCCAGGACTGTCCAGTGCCTGGGCTCCAGTGACTACAAGCTGAGGCCAGGGGAAAGTGGGTGCTGCAAGTCTGCTGGGTCCATGGCAGCCATGAGGCCTGGCCAGACCATGGACGGAGCCTCCCTGTCTGCTGGCTGCCTTCAGCTCTGAAGGTCCCACCTCTTCCCACCAGGCGCTTCCCCTTCAGTGGCCCCACAGCTTGCCTCCCCTTCCAGGGAGTCACCCTGATTCCTCTTCTGGGTCCCAGAGGACTGAGGGCCCTTCCATAGAGGGCACAGGCAGGTGCGGTCCCGTGCTCTGTGTGTTCCTAGGAGCAAGGACTGGGCCTTCCCAAGGTGTCCACTGAGAACTGGGTCCAGAACCGAAGTAGATGCAATGGAAGCCCAGATCGCTGGAGAACTGCCCTCAGCCAATGCCTGGGGGGGGGGGGGCTGTCCTCATGGTCCCCAGCCAATAGCTGACAGATATGGGTACAGATGGCCACCTTGCCCCCAGTTAGGACAACTCTTGGTGTCACTCATACTCCGGAGTTCACATGGGATCAGGCAGGGCTATGCTGAGCTCTGCTTCTCACAGATTCCCACTGAAACCTCCCTCTCCACCAGCCACTGTCCCCAGGACCCCATCTCTGGCTTGATCCAAGACACAGTGTGCCCAGCAGGACAGGGTGGGAATTTTGCTTGCTGAGTCCCTGCTGGGCAGCACCACGGGCTGGGTGCTGTCTTCTAAACGGTGCGTGAATCTTCAGTCACCTGTGGCCAGGTTACCCCGTTTACAGATGAGGACAGGGTGGCTCTGGGGGATGAGGGAGCTGATTGCATGTGGCCCTGGGTTCCTACCCAGCTGGCCCTTCCTCAGCCTGCCCTCCTGCACCTTCCCAGTGCAGGCTGATAAGGATCCCCGACTGGCCCAGGCCACTCACCTGGTCAGAGAATGGTGGCTGGAGCTGGCTGACATCCAGGGGGCTGATCAGAGGGACGCTGTCCATGGTAACTCCATCCTGGTACCCGAGGTCTCTGCCGAACTTCCCGAAGCTGAAGCCCAGCTTCACCATGGTGGATGGTGGTCCTTGTCCTGTCCAGAGGCAGACACAGGGTCACTGCACACTGGCCACCTAGCAGATGTCCACCCAGCAGGCCCTGGACAGAGAGGGTTCAGAGAGGACTGGCCCCAATGCTCCTCATACCAGAGCTGGGGTGGGCCGTGAGTGGCCAGGCCAAACTCCCTTCCCGGCCCCTGGGCTCCCTCTGGGCCCCACAGCCGTGCAGGGGATGGCACCTCAGACCAGTGACTGCCCAGACACACAAGGGCAACAGAGTCTTCCACTGGCTCACCTGCTAGAGGACAGTCTAAAGGCAGTGACTCCAATCAACAGAAACAATCTCCGATAGAAGCCTGAGGGTAGGGTGGCCAGACTTAGCAAATACAGGACACCGGTTAAATCTGAATTTCAGACAAAAAGGATTCTCCTTCTCCTTCTCCTTCCTCTCCTCCTCCTCCTCCTCCTCTTCCTCCTCCTCTTCCACCTTTAGTATAAGTACATCCCATGCAATATAGGACATACTGATTCTAAAAAGTTATTTGTTGTCTATTTGAAATTCAAATTTAACTGGGCATCCTGTGTTTTAACTGGCAACCCTCCTAAAGATGCAAGAAGTAACAAGACCTACAGAAGAGGACGTGGTGAATGCTAGCTGGGAGGACAGAGTAGCAGTGGTGTACACAGGGCTGGGCCACCTGGAAAGCGGGCATCCCTGACAAGAGGGGAGAGTCAGGAGGATGAGTGGGAGATGGAGACAAAAGGCCCTTTGCCATGAGTTCTGTAAATCATGGTGCTAGAGGACTTAGCCACGCTGTGGGGCAGGGGAAAGGAAGAAGAGGAGAGGCCTGGACAAGAGAAGGTCAAGCACGCATTATTCACAGGCAAACCGTCTCTTGTGAATAGAAAACCCAAGAGAATCTACAGGTAAATTATGAAGATTGAAAAGGGAGTTCAGGGTGGCTCAGTGGTTGAGTGTAGACCTCATGAACCAAGAGGTCTCCGGTTCAGTTCCCAGTTAGGGCACATGCCTGGGTTGTGGGCTCCATCTTCAGCAGGGGGAGTGCAGGAGGCAGCCGATTGATGTAACATCTATGTTTCTATCTCTCCCTTTCTCTCTAAAATCAATATAAACATATTTTTAAAAAGAGCTCAGCAAGCTGGTGGACTTAAGGTATTCAGAAATCAATTACATTTCTATATATCAGTGACAAAAAATTAGAAAATGCTTTTTTTGAAAGATTCCTTAAACAGTATCAGAAATAGCAACTGCTCAGGAATAGGTCTAACAAGAGATGAGAAGGACCTCCATGAGAAAACCATCACCACCCCCAAACACTCTCCCTGTAACAGCCCCACCAGCGCCTCAGGTGACCACTGTCTCATGCCCCAGCGGGTTCCAGGTGTGGGCAGGCAGGGTGGGAACAGAGGAGGAGGCCTGTCCAGGCAGAGAGGCAGATAGATGCCGGGCAAGGAGTCCAGGGCTGTGCGGGGCGTGTGTGGCGGGCGGGGTGGGGTGGGCAGTCAGGAACCGCCACTGTAATGCGGACTGGAAGCCGCAGGCTGGGCAGAGAGAGGCCGCCCCCATCGTGGACTCTAAGGCCCTTTCTTGGGGGTGTGCGCCTAGCCCAGGGCCCTTACCGATCCTCAAAGCGCCCCCAACGCCCACCCCCAGGCTGGGGGCGGGGCGCTCCCCAA